TTGGCAACCCAGTCCAAAATTAGGTTAGCATGTTTTTGTCTTTAGTTTTATTTTTGTCCCTACTTTCTTTAGTTTAATTACCCCCTCTCATCTTCCATTAGGTGACCATAAATGTCAGTTCTCTGATAGATGTGGGACGTCTTTCGTATTTCGAGTCTGATTTTCATAATTGTTGATGTGTTTGAATGAGCGTATTTGAGTGAGTGCTTGGACGAATGAGTGTCTTAAATTATTAAAGTCTCGCATTAATTAATGTTTCTGCCACGATTAAAGATTTTAGAGTGAGGTGGGGTTATTACTAATTTTATTTTTAGTTTCATTAAATTGTTTTATCCCCTCCCCCAAGAAAACATGATACATATGGGGACAAGTTAGGACCTCATCGAGATTCTGAGATATTATAGTGAATGTAGATATATTATGGTACGTGTCTTGGAGAAAGGAATATTGTGATCTGTTTGGATCAGTACCTAATTTTAATTATAAGATGGAAGACCAGCCCCCACTCCTTTGGCCACATGCCACAGTTTTGTATATAATGCCAAATAGTGGTCGTCTGAGACAACGCAGTAGTAATCTGCAGCTGAATTTAGTTACGTTCATTTACTAAGTAATGGAGACATTACAACAACCAATAAACGTAGCATAACTTAAAACTATATATTTTATCATATATAATCTCATGCTCATTTGCTCGATTGGACTTCAGCCAAAGTTGATCTTTGTTGCTGCTGCCATCGTAGTTCAACTAATTATGGGAGAGTGATTAACAAGGATACTTTTTTTTATCAAATTATAGGTTAGAGCACAGGAAGAAGTGGATTCATGTCTTCCCTTAGTCATATGAGATGAAAGTTCGCTTAAATCTAAGGGCGTTACATGGCATATCTGATATATGGATAGCAAACGCCGTCTTATGAATGGCAATACCATAGCATATAAATGTTATATTATGTATATACAGTGTGAACATAGAAATCAACTGCATAGTGAATGGTAATTTCATACATGACACAATCAGGCTCTAGCATAATAATGGGATGAAGATACAATCCAACATGATTTCTTTGTTTCTAAAAACGGTCTATCCTCGAGACTCGTTCTCCATAATAGAACATAATTTAAACAATTATCTCCCATGTGTGTGTGTGTGTTTTATTATAAACAGAGCATTTACTTAAATATTTATATCTATAAAAATAAAGTATAAACAATATATATATATATATATATATATATATATATATATATGTCATTCATCATACACACTATTTCGCTGCATCACAGCTCATCAGTGTGGCTAGACATCCGATCGCTTCAAGCCGGGACCATCAGTCAGAGATACTAACCCCTAGGTTACCGGCGCCCTTCAGAGAGAAAGACGAATTTCTGCGTATTTATTTTTTCATAAAGATACCAGTGACCTGCAGAACTCAATCGGTTGGGAGAGTCTTGCATTATTCTTGCATTATTAGCTGTAATAGTCAATGTTTAAAAATTCACCTTTTCTCCCACAGTGCTCGGCCGAATTAATTTTTTTTTTGGAAGCTAATATATATATATATATATATATATATATATATATATATATATATATATATATATATAAGTGTGTGTGTGTGTATATATGTGGGGGTACTGAGGTCAACACGGAGTAGCGACTGTTTGTTTCATGCTTTAATATAGCAACTGTCTTCATATTTTACGAAAAAAAAAATCTACCTGAGACGAAATGTGATTCAAATTAAGCCTCTAAAGCAGTGGTTACCAAACTTTTTTTTTCTCTCTGGGCCGCATTTTCTGAATTAAAATTTGCTCGCGTCTCACCAAAATTTTGAAATAAAAAAGTACATTTAATAATAAAAGAGATTAATTAAGGGAGATAACCGCAGATTCAAAATGAGAACATTATCATTGATAACTCTCTCCTCCAATTTGTGATTCCTAATTACTATATTCTTAATACTTTATATAATGCAAAAATATCACAATGATAAAATAAGTCAATAATTATTTATAACTATTTACACTGGGACTTATAAATGCAATTACATAACAATATCTTAAATTTTAACATATTTTTTCGCATATGAATTTTTTGAAACAGTTTTTAATGTCAGCTTTAAATGACACACAAATGGTTGATAAACCGAAAAAAAAAACACATCAATAACAAAATACTTCTCCTTCTCTTTATTAAACTACCACTTGCAAACATTCCGCCTCATCGGCTATCCTCTTCTGCCACACTGTTTGGCAACTTCTGCTCTAAAGTTTTATCTTATTTTACTTTTATTTTTTTACTGCATTGCTATAAAAATTAGATTTTAACTAATTTCAACTCAGTTTTGTATTTATAGTTTAATTATCACACTTTGTTTTAGTACTAATTTAGTATGAACTGCAACACAGGCAAATAAATTTCAAGTAGCAGTTTTGAACCACTCAAAACACTGATTTTGTGAGCCTATTTGAGACAGTAAATAGAGACGATAAAATAATTTTCTTCAGTAGCCACACCAACGCAAAACTAACACAACGTTCCCTACATAAGATTGTTAAGAATATGTTGAGTCCGGTCATAAGAAATCCGTTTTGCGAATCTACTCATCTGAATAAATCTCACTACAAGATAGAAGAAACTACATTACAAATAGGATATTTTCTACATTAACATTCATTCAAAGAACTTTTCATATTTTCTTTTATTACGCACACTGTAAAAAAGAATATTTTTTATCAGAACTATCAGTTACTCATTTGTCTCTACAAATACTTTACAAGCCCCTGCGTACTGGTGGCATTAAGGCCTTGCTTGGGGGTGAAGTGATTAAAAATATCATTTTGAATTTGTCTCTTAATTCCTACACCCATGACCTGGTTTATCGATCCATCCTTCTTTTTCCACTTAGTAATCAAGCATGGCTATCAGTTCGTCCGTAACAAAGCCATCAGTCAGTCAGTTAAGTGCCATACACGCTTGGACGATCATGTATCTTTCGATACATGACTGATGAGGCAGATTTTTCCCTGTATTAGTTTGCCATTTCGTTTTATGGTACACTGGTTACCAATCAAGGCTAAAGAACCCAGTCTGCTATTTAACCCATAGCTGAGGGAAAAGATCGATTCATACCTTTCCCAAAGGTATTTGTACGTAAGTGAATCCAACTGGAATTTGACTTCGGCTGTCCGAGTTCTCACTCCAAGCTGATATCTATTACACTACAACGCACACCCCAAGGTCTATATTTTATAATTAGATGGTTTAAATTCCGTGGCAATTGTGTTTAAAAAATACAAGTGCCATGAACTACACATGTTAAATGGATGGAAGCAATATTAAAAAACATTCCCAACTTAAATGATGGGGGCAATTTGAAATTATTAAAAACGATTGAAAATACGATTTCCTGCGATAGTGAAGTCGTCTAATTTTTAGAAATATATTAACATATCCTTATCTAATCTGGGAATACTACGAATCATTGGCACGTTTGCCCATCAGAATGATCGGATCACTGACAATATTTGCCTTTGTCAAGTGACAACTGGCCACTTCTTTCGTCACAATAACAAGCAGCTACGAACTGTGAATGACGGGCAATCACGTGTTAATACATGTCAAAATGATTAACGTCAGTTCGATTTTACTCTTGGAGAGAGAATACACACACGTTGAAAAGATGTCAGCCTAACCTACTTTTAAAAATTATTTTTTCAATAACTAAGAATTGAAAGTTGATCAAACCGAGAATTTTTCATCACCTTTCGTATAACTACGAGGCGTACTGAAATGTTCTACTCCAAAGCAAGACATTCTTCTCCAAGCAAAACAAATGATGTTTGATCATTTGCTAATATATTGGATATATATCTCCATATTTGTGGTCCTGTGTCCAAACTAAGCTAAGGTTTGTGAACACTACATTTCCTACCATATCCCGATTCACTTTTAAAAAAATCTCCAAACTAACTACGTTATGACCCATAATGCTCATGCTAACGGCTCTAGATTAACGTTTAATCTCTTGTTTTAAACTAATCCCTGATAATCCAAGAATTAATTAGATATAATTATAATTATATATATGTGTGTGCGTGTGTGCAATATCAGTTGACTATTTTTTCTTTAATATTCCTTACTAAATTATACGTGCGTATTATACAATGATGCATGTTATATTATTTTAACAGTAACTTTGTGTCTGACATTTTCTTATTTGTTAATGAAAACTACAAATATTAATTTTACTATAAACAGATGAATTATGAACTGCAACCAATGTATATATATATATATATATATATATATATATATATATTATTTTATTTAAAATATGATTCCAACTCGCGACATAAGAGGTCTCATGTTTCAAAACAAGAGCCGAAAAACTTCAATATAATTATTTGAATTAAATTGAGCTAAAGAAAGCTCTGTTCCATCTTCAAGCGAAATTTTTTTTGGAATAACTTATTTCAGAAATTTACGTGTTTTATGATAATCTTGTATGGTAGACCATCTTAAAACTTTACATATAAATCGTACAAAAAACATCGAAATCCTAAAAGTGATTGATTTTGTTTCATTAAATAAAAGGAAGTAAAGATGATTTCGCAAAAATAAAATGCATCTACCTTTCCTCCAGAGCATTCCATGTTCTATTTCTAAAACCCGTGATAACTCTGCAACTTTTCTTTTTAACCGAAATGAAATTTATGTACTTACTTATAAAAAAATAAAATGAAATAAAAAGGAGAGAAAAGGAAAAGAAAAAGTCGCCATCTTGTTCTTGTTTTTTGTCAACTGCTGTGTCGTAAATGAAACTTCATCTTTTTTAATCAGCAAAATTCTTTTACTTTATTTTGCTTATAATGTTCCAACATTCTCACCGACAGAACCTATTTTCTTCGTGACTTTATGGTAGAATCAATAATAACCTACCATGACGTGAAATGATTACAATCACTGTCTATTCGCACGATTATGAACGACATACCTGCTCGCGAGAAATGGGCGTCTCTATTGAAGACATAGCTTTTTTTTTTGTTTTTAATTTCTCGTGTATTACAATGATTGTTCTTGGAAGATATTTGACTGGTTTCCAACTAAGTCTAAAGAACCCAATCTGGCTTCATAGGAAAGTGAAAACAGCCTTGAAAGGAAAACGTATGAATTGAGTAAGGAAAAACATTAAGATCAACAGTTATTTTCAGAGGAGCATTCAATCAATTGTTTAAACCAGGGTTATCCAATTCTTTTTCCTAATGGGCCAAATTAGAAATTTAGGTATATTCACCAGGGTACAAATGTCTTCTTGGCCTCACGTTTTCATCTGACTTAAAGTAGAGCGACTACATTGAATCTTCTGAAAGGAAAGTTGAGTCACTGTCAATGTTTTTACTCGTCAGTCCATCTTGCACATTTACAAATCTACCATTCGCCCCGATGCTATATCTGGTCTGGTGCTCTTTCTATTCATTTCTGGGTTCTTGACAAAATCCAAAGGATCTACAGTGTAATAGATCTTGACTCGTCATCTCCACTTCAGTCACTTTCTCATCGAGGTGACGTGGCTTCCCTCTGTCTTTTGTAGAAATACTTTCATGGCAATTGATCTCAGGGGCTTTTTTTCCTTGGTGCTCGGATTGCGTGAGTTAAGGGTGCTATTAAATTGACTTCTAATTTCCACCCTGTTGAATTAGTTAAATGTAACTGCCACTTCTACTCCAAGTTTTTTTTCTCGCACTTGCCGCGTGTGGAACTCCCTTTCGTTTACTTGCTTCGCTGATAAATACAATCTTCAAAACTTTAAATGCAACATCAATTACCATTTCCATTCTTCTTGAATCCTGTTCATCTTTTCTCCTTTCTTCAATCCTCCCTATACTCAGTCTTTTCTCTCAATTTTACTCCCTTTAACCCTCTGCGTACTAGTAGAATTCTCGCCTTGAAACGGTGAAATGATATATATGAAAAAAGAAGTGATTTTCATTGTTACAGTGCATTTCTTGGATCATTTGATTGTAATACACGGAAAAATATTCGTGAATATGAACGCATTATGCTAAAAAAAGTAATCAGACATAATGTTTATAATTTATTTAATCAGACATGCTTAAAAGAGAATCTGCTTAACACACACACACACACACACACACACACACACACACACACACACACACACACATATATATATATATATATATATATATATATATATATATTTACATATATATATATATGTATGTATATGTATATTAATATAATCTGGGATGGAACTGCCCGGTCTTCACTTCTCTATCTTGATAGAGTTCAAGAGCGTCTACGCGGCGTGGAGGATGATTATTTCTCATCCTACAACCCCTTTTCCCACAGACGAAACATCTCAAGCCTCTCACTACACTATCGCCCTTTTCTTTACCATGTGATGGGCTATTTTTCTTTGCAACTGGGATCTCCCAATTCACATACTCATGAACGATTCATTCTCATTCCCTTCGTATTCCATTCAGAAGAAGTAAGTTCCACTCGGACAGCTTCTTCCTAAGAACTCTTATATTGTGGAACAGACTCTCAGTAGGATGATTTTCCCGTCACTACAATATCAACCATTTCAAGTCTAGGACTAATCTTTGTCTTCCCTGTATAACCTTAAGAACTTCACTTCATGCCTTTTATTACATCCATACAATACCACACAATAATCCTCTATCTTGAGTTGCTCTTGGGCCTTGCATTGAGTGGATATTAAAATAAAAAATGAGTTTTCATTATTCCTGTGATATCAGAATATGTTAGACCACTCGTCGTGCAGAGATACTAGGCAGTCGAGGTTCAGTCTTGTTGAACTCAGAAAAAGTTACAGAAAATTACTTGTGGATATAGTGGCTAGCAAATATAGTCACACACAGGAAATAACACAATTTTTGCGAATAGAACTATACACAACTGAATTACCATAGTGTTTAAAATAAGAGATTTTTACGCTTGTATCTCTGCAGGAGTTACTCTAAATCGCATTGCATAACACTATAAAAGAATTGCCAATATTGGTGAACCGATGTTGCGCAAATATTCACATCTCATATAGCAAAGGATCTAATCCTGGCTCAAAGTATTGTTACACTAAAAACATACTTTACGTTGGCACATGTATTCCTGCCATATCCGGGATGAAGTTGCCTTTTTACTCTTGATAGAGTTCTTTGCCTCCTTGTGGATGATGAATTATTTTCTACTCTACAATCCCTTTCCCGACAGACGAAGTGAAGTAAGACTCTCGCTACTCGGTCGCTATTTCTATGGCAAATATTCTGACAGGCTACATACCGTAGTTCCACCAATCCTAACCTTAACAGATAAGACCCGTCATGCAACGTACTCGTGATCAATTGTAACCTTCACATATAAAACTCTCCATGCCGCGTATTCAGGGACCAATTCTAACCGTCAAAGATAAGATCAGACATGCCACGTACTAGGGGACAAATTCTAACCTTCACAGATCAGACCCACCATTCCAGGTACACGGGGATCAGTTCTAACCTTCGAAGATAAGACCCGGTATGCCACGTAAATGGGGGTCAATTTTAGCCTTCACAGATACATCATCCCACGAACTCAGGGACCAGTTCTAACCGGCACAGATACAATACGACATGCCACGTACACGTGGATCAGTTCTAACCATCACAGATAAGACCCGTCATACCACGTACTCAGGGACCAATTCTAACCCTCACTGATCATACTCATCATGTCACGTACTCAGGGACCAATTCTAACATTCATAGATGAGATCCGTGATGCCACGTACTCGGAGGTCAATTTTAACCTTCACAGATAAGACCTGACATGTCACGTATTCAGGGATCTATTGTAATCTTTACAGATGAGATCTGTCATACCACTTACTCGATGGCCAATAATAACCTTCACAGGTAAGACCCGGCATGACACGCACTCGGCGACACTGGAAAAGAAAAAGCAAAGAATAAATGTACGTCTGTTATAAGGAACGGATAAGTTTTAGTCATAATTTTCTGACCTGATAATGAAAAAATCATGTGAAAATTTCGCAATAAAAATAATCAAGATGAGGCTATCAGTTTGAATGGATCATTAAGTATTGATAACAACGCATCCTGAGTGTTAAATTCTCTATGTTCTCTTTCCTCATTATGTATCCCAGAAATGTTAACTAACTATAAGAGTCCATTTTTGCCATTTTGTTTAAAACTTCCTCATTGCTCATATGCTATGGTATTCTCAAAGTCATATAGAAGCACATCTTTGTTTAACTTTTAACAAACATCTTTCGCTCTCCCAATGCATCTTCGGGTTTACTTACTTATCCGAATTTGTTTAAGCAACGTGTAAAGTTGTTATATTGGTTGAAAATGATCCAAAGGGTGATTTTTTTCTTTCTTCTCAATTGGTTTTCCAGAACCACCCTTTTTATTACCCTGAATCTGACAGAGCGTCGCCATAAAGCTCAGAACAAGGCTTATCAAAAAGTTCATTTTCCACGGTATTTTTGTAGCTTTTTTTTAAAATTATTTCACCTAAAGCAAGACAATAAAGCCACTAAGATGCAACAAGTTACTGAGCCTGAAGGAATATGAGAACAAGAGAAACATTATTAAAGAGAGAAAATAAAAGAAAAGGAATTAAGAAGACGGGAGATGACGATTGACAGTTCATTTAAACTTTTGAAGCTGGAAATCAAGAAGCCGGAAGAGAATTGCATCAGCAAGAAGCGCGAGAGAAGAAATTGTTAGTCTGGAACTTATGGTTACATCTAGCAATTCCAACTGTAAAATTGTGAGACCTAGTTGTCAATCTAGTATTGCGCTTAAATTCGTAATGTCGAGATACCAAAGAGAAAAGCTTATCATAGCAATTTCTATGAAAGGATTTAAAGGGAAGCTATCTTAGGGCAGTGGGAAAAGTAACTGAAGCCGAATTTCTAGATCGGTATCTACTGCTGAATTTAAAATGTACGATTTTAGATGTTTTTAAAGCAAGCAAAACTGAGCTGCATTATTTGATGTCATAGGTTAACACTTCAAACTATAATTCATTGGAAAAATTAGAAAAATACATCTGCGGTTCTTCTCTGTCATCAGGCAATGAAAGAACACCGGATTAGCAAACGATGCCTTTCAAAAGCTAAACGAAGTATTAAGAAACAGGAAAATTTCATTAGAAACAAAGATAAGTGCTGAACTGCTATGCAATATCAATTCTCCTACATGCCAATGACAATTTCTTCTGGAGAGAAGACTTGAAACAACAGAGCTGTACTCACAGAAGGATTTATAAAAATGGTGTGAAAAAATATAATCTCCCTCCTTCCTCTTAACTTTTTACCTAGAAGTGAATAAATTTTTATTGTAATAGTTTCTTTTACCAACGCTTTTTACTTGTTAAAGTCTATTCCGGCTTCTTGCTTTCGTATCAACTGCGATCTTTAAAAATGTAAATGCAACGTCAATCGTTATCTTCTATCTTCTTCATACCTGTTCGTCTATTGTCGTCACTGTTTCATTCATTCGCATATTACCATTATTCCCTTGCTTGGTGTGAAATAATTACAAAATATATCGCTCAATAAACTCTCTGTAGCAAATATAAAAATTATTTTACCTAATCAAACGAACGAACTTTTCGAACACTTACTTTTAGATATAATAGTTGAAAATTGTCTAATATGCTTCGTAATTTGGGAGATTTAGACATAAATTTTCATATTATTATTATTGTTGTTGTTGCATAGAAATCTTAATGTTCTCTCTGAAAATAATTGTTCTGTCACCGAGTCTTACGTCGACTGCATCCATTGCAGAGATATATGACGACACCAAAAGGAGACACCTTCTGATTAGATATATAGACATGAATACAATTCTAATCATTGTCTGCTTCCAGCGTAATCCTATCTATATCTGCCTTTTTTAACTTTAGTAAAAGCTGGACCTGTGTCTATTATTTTGAATCAGTTGCAATTCTAACCCGTATCTAACATTTTGA